GACTCACATTTGGTCTTGACTCAAAGCTCACTGTGAGAACCATTACATAGAGTATACGTTGAAATGAGTCACTGACAATTGTACAACATTGCAGTAACCCAAGATGGTAATACCAGTTAATACTAATAAGAGTTAAGAAGGTAAAAGAGAAGTCCACTGGTGCTTCAAAAGCTAAAACATTCCTAGAAATCTAGATGGGCCTACACACACCTACGGAGAGACCCAAGAAGACTGTCTTTCACTCCTGGCTGACTTGAGAATAAGTAGGAAGTCACAGTCACAATATAGTTGCAAATGTTAAGGGTATAACCCAGCTCACACAGAACACTTTGGAAAAGACTAACTTAACAGCTCAAGGTCTTAAAGAAAACCTCTGACCAAAATCAGCAGAACACTATGCTATCAGAGAATTCCAGTGGCTGCACATGATAAAAAGAAGTTTTGCAGAATTAATCCAAGCGAGTCTTTAAACAAAAAGCACAAATAGTCACAATAACAAAACCTGGGTGTGTGTGTAGTACATACAGTCTGATTTCCACAGTTTCCACGTATCATTTAAAATGCCAATTTTCAACAACAACAAAATCTTTAATCATGCAAGTAAATAGGAAACTATGGCCTATGCATGGAATATGCAGTGTCTAGAAACTGTCCCTGAGGAAGCCCAGATACTGGATTTACTATAAGATTTAAATAAGTATGTTCAAAAAACTTAAAGAGTCATATCTAAAGAATTGAAGGTAAGCATAACAATGATTTCTCATTGAATGAAAGATTATAATGAGAGTGAGCAATTTAAAAAGCAATTAACTATAAATTCTAGAATTGAAAATATAATTGAAATTTAAAATTTACTAGAGGGAATTAGTAATGTATCTTCAAACTGGCAAGATGATTTAGTAAACATGAAGAATGTAAATCAATGAAATTATCTACTCTATGGAGCAGAATGAAGAGAGATGATGAGAAATGAGCAGAGCTTTAGAGACCTATAGGACACAGGTAAGTGTATCAACAGATGCCTAAAGGGGGACATTAGAGAAAGAAGGTATATTTCAAGAATAAATGGTCTAACACCAAGAACATGGAACACCTATGCTTTCCTAAAACTCAATTTCACAACTCGACGTATTTGTATAAATTGGAAAATGTTAGGATGCTACAAAAAAATCACCCCACCCCCCAAAAAAATCAGCTTAAAGACTTTGAAAAGATTAAGAGACAATTAAGCTGAAGTTCACAGCTGTCATGATTAAAATATGATTGCAGGCATCCAAGTTCCTTTTTCCTTGTTGTTCAACTATACCTAAGATTGTTTCAGGCACATGGTATTTCAGACTAGGGACTAAGGAAAGTAGCCCATTCTTTTGGTATGCACACATCAGTACTATTCACTCCATCAGTATGATTAGCCAGAATTTAGCTAAATGGTCTCACACCCAGTTAACAAGGGATTCTAAGAAGTAAAGTTTTGAGGGGTATTTTTTCTGACCCCCTGGATATTTTTCCCCATATAAAACATGGGGTTCTATTATTAAATGAAGAACTTGAAAATGAATATTAAGAGGTAAGTAGCAGCCTCTGAAATTTTATTGCCTAGAAATGTTCTGGACTACACATTACTGAAAGATGTCTCCATTTGAATGGGGAATTTGGAAATATAAAAGGACACTCAAAAAATCACTTTATACGTCTTTTCATTGACAAAATTCAAAGGAAAAAGAATGCATTTTTACCAATCTTAAACATTTTAGTCCTTTATTTAAAACAACAACTGAATGGATTTGTGCCACTAAAAGCATCAAAACTAACAGACACAGAAGCAGAAAGTTTATTTACTTAAAACATTTCACAATTATATTATTGGACAAGACCCAATATCATTTATTTAAAATAATATTCTAAATACTTACAAAAATAAATCAAATATTGCTTCTATTTTTCAAGTGTCAAAGTCTTTGCCATAGAAAATAGAAAGGGCCTTTTAAAAACTAAACATTACATTTAAGCTACCCCTGCATACTATCCTCTTTTATGGTTTGTGCTTTATAAATTTCCAGACTACTCTGCAATGTACAGGTTCACAGTAAAAACATTTGCATACAACTATATACTCACATTTTAACATAGGAATGTTTCTCATTAAATATGCACATAGAGTACTGTGGTCTAAAAGCTCCCCCACCCCAAAGAGTCAGAAGTGTCACTACACAGAAACAGGTGCGGCTGTGGAAGCATTATCTAACATTTGAATTATCACACCCATTATCAAAGATGATGACATGTGGATATGGGATACTCGGTGTAATATGTCTACATAAGACATTCTTAATCTATACTAAATTATTAGCCTCATTCATTGAAAAAATAAACTTTAAATATTTCTCAATACATTAGGTTAATCTCAGGATAAACATCACTGTCATGTGTATATTAAAAAGAGAAAAGAACATTAGTCTTTGAACTAATGCTCAAAATTAAAGATCATTTTCAAATTGGTTTGTAGTTTTACTTTATAATCATTGGGACATTCAGTTCTTATAACATAGATAAAAGCTGAATATCTCTTTCATAGTATATACATTCAAGCCTCCCGTACAACACAGATGTGTATAAATCATGGTTTGGAATGAAACATTTATAATGCTTTACCACCCACAGGGTGTCATTCTTACTACATTAACCAGATGTGAAAAAGAATCTCACTTCTGATCAGTTCCTGAATTTCTGTATGAATAATCACAATATAGAACTTTACATTAGTCTTGTTTATAAATACTTATATATCAAACATTTTAAATTCTACTTAATTATAAAAATGCTAAATCAGGAAACTTGTTTTTTTTCTGTTAAGAAAAAAGTTTCTAGCCTACACCCTTATTCAGAAATTTCACAATTTATTTAGAAATTCCAAGTATAATAACTGAAAATTTATTAGCAATTGAACTGGAATATACTAGTCTTTTGAGATTGATGTTTTACAATATATTCCATTAAAAGTGAGCTTGAAGAGTTTGTAAAATCTCAATTACAATCAAGTAGAAACACCAAAGGGCAGATGTTTTCATGGCCAAAATATACCAAAAAGCTGTAATAATACTTAGAAAAGTTTAAATAACATGCTAAAACATTTTGAAGTCTTATTTTCTTTCACCGAAAGTCACAGGCAAGCAGACACTATAAGAATATACAAAAATGCAAACAATATAATTACACAGATAAAAAACATCAAAATCTAAGAGGTAGTCAACAGAAGTAACCTTGAAAAAATAAAATATCCAGATAGATATTCCCTAAACTCAGAGACCCAAACACAATATAAAATTTTTGTACTTTCAGTGATCGAAAAAATTACCAAGAATTTAAAACCAGTTATTTCAATGAAAATACTGCAGATGGAACAATACTCATATTTGAAAAGAAAAGCTAAGAATAAAACCTAGACCACAGATCTATAGCCTGCCAGCCAAATCTGGCTTACTTGATGCTATAAATAAACTTACTGAACTACTGCCATGCCCATTTTGTTTACATGCTGTGTATGGCTTCTTTTACACTAGCATAGAGTACTTGAGACAGAGAACATGTAACCTATAAAATCTGAATTATTTACTAAAATATTTAAAATCTATCCCCTCACATAAAGCTTGCTAATCTCTGGTCTAGACATACTGTTAATATGTACTTGTACCTCTTGAACAGCATTGGAAAGATTAATTACAGTTATCACAACGTATGGTATGCAACTTTTTCAAACACAAAACACAAGTTACATCACAGTTCAGTTCCTTGTAACATCTGAAATAGTGCTAACATTTATTTTTATTGTTGTAGTCTATATTTGAACTGCCCAATACAGAAGCTACTAGCCACGTTTGGTTGGAGATGTGCAGGTACAACTAAGCAACTAAACTTCTTATTTTAATTAATTTAAATTGCCACATGGCTATCAGGATGAACAACAAGAAATTTAACAAAACTAATATTCCAAAGTTGTGATTTTCAAAAATGCGCTCCCCCCAAATAAAAAGGGAACATTTCTAAAAATAAGAGCTTTGGGCAAAAATCATCTGCATACCAAAAACTCAGCCCAAGACAAATTCCTTAATTAGTAAACAAAATCAAATTAATGCTACATTGTTTTATCACTGCTTCACCTCTTTCCAGAAGAGACAAAAACTATTATATTGTGTTGTACTTTTTTTAAAAGCAAAAGCCAGATAATTTTATGCTTTAAAGCAATAACTGTAATTTTCATTAATTACATTAAAAAGTTTGTGGCCATGTTATACAAAGTATATTTTTCAGCTTGCTTTCCATCAGAAAGGCACCTGTTACAAATGTCAGTCTACTTCCCACCCTTAGCATTTCAACCAAGCTCTCCAGAAACCCTTGTTTATTAGCTGGGACATGTGAGAATGATGACTTCTTTCACAATCTGTAAATTTTCCAATCAGTCATTTTTACTATGGCAAAGTCATTTCAATATTGAAGTTGTCCAAACATTTACTTTCTATGGGGTGACAAAACATACCCATTCAATGACAGAAGAGAGAAGTAGTAAAACCTTGGGTGTATCAAGTCAAACAAATCATCCTTGTATAGTTTTCCATATGCCTACCTCATGACTATTTTTACATGGACCAAAAACATCAAACAAATATAGATGCATTTTTAAATTACATATTACTGATTACGTGTTATGAATTATCAAGTTACTAATACAACTGAAACACTAAACTAAAATATATAGACAATTTGAAATTATAATACTCTTAAAAGACAAATGTTTGAGATGTGTGCTTAAATACATCTTCCAATTATTCAAATGTGCTTTCCAGAGAGATAGCTAATTCTATACTTTATTTTCAGTGTCAGCTGATAAAATTAATGTGATGCATTTTGATTCTAAAATAGCTGATTACCAAGCATCTTAACCTTCTTTTTCAATCTGGCAGTAAGCTAAAAGGTATAAAATATTTTAAGGGCACTTCTGTTTATATTTTCTTTTGCAGTTTAATCAGATGTTGTAGCAGGAACTTTAACAGAGAGATTTCTTCGGGTGTTGGTGATGTGCCGCTGCTGTGCTAAGAATGATCGTGCAGGAGTATAGACACCAGTGTCTTTGCAAGCACTACTGCCACTCACAAGCCTGGATTCCATCCCCAGTTTCTGGAATGCTAGACTCTGAACCAAAACATATAAGATTACTAAATATATACATAGCTATATCTATCCATCCATCCATCTATGTATACATCCTTCTACACAAACATACACACACATACACACTTTATCCTCAAAACAATCCTAGAAAGCTAAAGGTTATCTCATTTTTATAGAAGAAAATATTCAAAAGCAGATTAATCTGCACATGGTAATGCTAATTAGAAACATAAAATCCAGTTTCTCTATTTTAACCCACTAAAATTGAAATCATTAAAACAGTAGCCTAAAGCCAGGCACAGTGGAGCACACCTGTAATTTCAGCAACTCAGGAGGCTGAGGCAGAATGATCACAAGTTTGAGATTAATCATAGCAACTTAGTGAGACCCTAAGCAATTTAGTGACACTGTTTCAAAATAAAACAACAATAAGAAAACAACAACAACAAAACAAAACCCTCAGTATCTTAAAAGAACATACTGGATTTGGGCTTCATTACAACAATAGGAAAAGGTTCCAAAAATTTTTTTTTTTTTTATGTTTGGACCCACTCCAGCTTAAGCAGACATACCATACAGAAAAGCTTAGATTGGTGATTCTTAAAAGTATGGTCTCTGGATATATTATTATATGACAAATGATTATAGTTTGGGCTATTTTTTTTTTTAATGAGAAGGCATTACTCTCACTAGACCTCATAGACCTCAAAACAATTTTTTGAACTTAGCATCATAAATAGCTAATACAAGAAATATAGTAGATGTTCAACAAATATAAACTGAAAAATGAAAAAAGAACTTCTTATTTGTATCTACACCGACTAGTCATGGAAAGACAACTAGTGCTACACGAGGAAGCACAGCACACTCATGTGGGCTATAAACAGAAATTCCCTTGTGTTAAGTGATAGATAATGATAGAAAATGGCTAAAATCTTATCTATTCTAGCTAATTAGCTCAAAGGAAGCTTATACATTATAGAATGCTACTCTTGAAAACATCTAAGCATGACAAAATTAAAGTTATGTATAATATTATTTTTTTCTTTAGTAGAATGGATAGATCATTATTGAAGAGTACTGCTTCAAGAATTTTGCATTAGATATTCATGTTTTTAGAAACCCTTTATCAATACAAATTAAAAGTTTCAGCTCAAAGCTATTTAAAAAATAATTGATTTTCCTGCCTGTTCTAAATATGCATCAGTTAAAGGCTGATGAGTTATGAAACAATTCAATGAAGTATAATCAACATTAATAGAAAGAGGATATGAAGATAAAATATCCGCACAGCCAGAGTAATTTTTCTTTCAGTTATATAAACAGGTTACATCCTGGTTAATGGTATAAAGTATATTTCTATTGTTCGCCAAAAAAGACTATTTTAAATATCCAATCACTGGTTACATTTCACTCACCTTATTATACCAGGCAGAAACAATGAGCTTTTCTTCATAATCACGAAATTTTGCTACTTTACATTCACTCTGGAAAGAGATATGAGGACATTTAAAATCTCAGAAATTGTTCCAAATTACCCAAAACAGAATAATTTCTTCACAATCTCATTGTTGAGAGAATATGAAGAATGTATTTGTGAGGCACATAAAGTAGTCAAAGTGTGAAATGATTCATGCAGAAAAGTATTCACAACATCTTTAAGAAAGAAGATTTGTGACTAATCTTTATTTCAGAATTTTACTAAAAGAAACAGTGATTTAATATGGGCGCACACGCACACAGACAGACAGACACACACCCTTTCTAGTGAGTCTTCTGCTGCTGTTCCTCTTATCTTGAGGAAAAAAGCAACTGGCTTAGTTATCAAAACTGGGGCTTCACTTATGAAGAGCTGAACCAAGGAAAAAGAGGATGCAGTGTATTAGATTCCCTGCAGTAATTTTTATGTGCCACTGCAGAGGCTGGCAGTCTATTTTTATTAACTTAACAGCAAATTTCATAATTCTGTAACACAGAATTTTGTAATTCTATTGAGCAACAGATAGGTGGCTCATAAAAAACTAATCCTGAAACACTTGACAAGACCCTGGGAAAGGCACTCAAGATACAAAAGGCATGTGGACACTAAATCCGAAGGTGATGCCCTTCTGGCTCATACTATTCCAGGTGCAGACATCCTTGAAGGGGTAGCAGATGGAACAGCCTCTGCTATTTATATCATGTTTCTCCTTTCTTCTTTTTCAGTGTGTATAGAGATACATACACAGAGCACTCTTACATGATCCTTTTGGAAGTCCTACTTCAAACAATAGCAATTGTATACATTCTCACTGGCTTGCAGTGGGAAGTAAAAAAAAAGCCACTGTCAAAGATTATGTCCTCAAGTCTATTTTTCTAGAAGTACAGATTGAGGCCCAGAGAGGAAAGGTGATAAACTTAAAATAGATTGCCAATAAAGCTATAATCCTGGCCTCTGATTTATGTAATATTTATTGATGTGCATACAGAAGCATAAGAAATAGCCTTTGCTCTCATATACCTCAAAATGTGCCAAAAGGAAAACCAATGCTGCTATTCAATGAATTAAAAAAAAATACATGAACTCATTACAGAGAGACAACTACCTTTGCCTAAGGAATACAGGGAAACTTTTACAGAAGAAGAAACATTTGAATTGGATCTTGAAGAATTAACAGCATTTCTTTAAAAAGACATCCCTTCCCAGTACTTTTCTCAACACACATCATAGTCTGAAGAAGCACTGACAGCATACACACATATGCTTGGTGTACATTCTGGATGTAGGAAGGAGTGGATTAAAGTCCAACCTTAAAACAAACATATTTCCACCAAAGTCCACACCTACTTGTTTAGAAAAAAGGTATCTGAATAGAATTTGAAATATAATATTATTGATTGATTTAAAAATAATCCTACTATCATTTATGAGAATTTCAAGGCCAGAATATAAAATTCAACATAGATTTGTAATTATTTACATGTTGGTAAAAGGAAGTATATATTGACTACAAGAATAGCATTATTGTCTCACCATAGTATTAAAAAATTTTGTAAACCACTCTGCAAAACAAACTAGAATATGTCCAACTACAAAATTTAAGAATATACAATTCCATGCTGGCATATGTATCCAAGCCTCTAAAAAATGTTTAACCACTAGCCCAAAAATACTTTTAAAATTTAAAGATTCAACTAATTAATGAGATCATTACTAACATAACCTTGTATGATAATAAAGATGGCTGCTTTGTTTGGGGAATTACTGGGATTCTAGGAGTACTTCATTCTACCAGAAATTCCAACTAATTTTGTTTAGGTTCAGGTGAGAAAAAAGAAAAGATGAGACAAATCTGGCTCACAGTAGCTTTTAAACACAGTACCTTTTTTAAAAGGTAAGCTCAGTTTTTTCTTTTTCTGAATGAAATCGCATCCTCACAATCTAAAAGGAACATGGCAGTAAATGATAACCATAAAAATTGGCTGTTAAAGAGGGAGGGCTACAATGAGAAAATAAAGAAGACACACAAATTATGTATGTGCCAATCTAGAGGGCTAGTGAGATACTTTGTTATAAACATACTAATTGCTAAATCACTACATTTCTAACATTTTTTGAAACTTGATCATTAATGGATAATATATGAAATGAATTAATTACCAGACTTCCCCATAGAATAATTAAAAATGTGTGATTATTCATAATTACCTCCAGAATCTCAATTCTTCTCTCCTTCTCTGCCAACTGCTTTCTAAGTAGCATTATTTCAGCTGATGCTGGATTTAATTTGGGATCTAAAGTTTTTATTACCTGTTTAAAGAAAAAATAATTTATGTTCACTTTATCTATTTGCAAATAGTACTGTCCTCCATCACATTTATGCAAATTACTAAAAGTTGGATAGGGGAGACCAGTGGAGTAGAAGTAGGAAGGACAATGAGGGAGAGAGGAAGGAAGGAAAAGAAAAATAAAATGAAGTTAACAAAAATCATACCTAAAATGAAATATATATACTTAGAGAGAGAAAGAGAAATTTTTAATCAGAACGTAGCAAAAATATTTGGCTAAACTACGGAGATGGCATTCTGTTAGGAAACCAGTTTTGGAAAAGTCAATATTGACAATACAGGAATATTTTTGGCACAAACTAAATGAAGTAGAAAATAGTCCACATAGTCATCTAGCAGCTATCTATTTACAATTAAATTATAAAAGACAAAAACAACATATTCTAGAGTTAGGAAATGGTACAAAAATTCAGTAAAAAAATGGACAGATCCCTATCCCCAAATAAAATTTTCCTTCTTCAAGGCTAGGTACTCAGGGATAGTTACTTTTAGCCTTTTAATTGCTCAAAGTTTTGAGCACTGAGGTCATGAAATAACACTTTTTATATTTATCTGAATGTAAAAGAAAATCAAAATGAATTCAATAACTACACAGGAACTTGCTGATTTTACAGTGTAAAAAGAAAATTCTTAAAAGAATCTTTTTTACTATCATTATCTAGTGATTCAATATATCAGATAAATATAACAGACCTGGTTTTATTTGCAAACAGTACTGTCCTCCATCATATTTATGCAAATTACTAAAAGTTGGATAGGGGAGACCAGTGGAGTAGAAGTAGGACAATGAGAGGGAGAGAGGAAGGAAGGGAAAGAAAAATAAAATGGAGTTAACAAAATCATGTTATATACATATATAAATGTACCAAAGAGAATTTCATCTTTATGTATCGTACCAATAAAAAATAAACAAAGGAATGAAAGAAGATCAGTAAAGGAGGGAGAAAAGAAGGAGGGGGAGGGAAGAAAAAGGGTGCAATGAGGATTAAAATCAATTTGTATGTATAATTTCATCAAAATATTGTGTATTATTATAATGCTTTAATAAAAGAACATTAAAAATCATCCCTAAAATGAAATAAATATACTTAGAGAGAAATTTTTGATCAGAATGTAGCAAAAAATATTTGGCTAAACTATGTAGATGGCATTCAATTAGGAAACCAGTTTTGGAAAAGTCAAGTATAAAGTACAAGTAAAGTCCACAAATTTCCAATATTGAGGACATCTATATTAGGTAGTTTTATTTATTTGTTAATTCATTTATTTATTGGTACTGGGGATTGAACCCAAGAGCACTTTAACCCTGAGCTACATTCCCAGGTCTTTTTATTTTTTGAGACAGGGTCCCACTAAGTTGCTGAGGCTGGCCTTAAGCTTGGGATCCTCCTGAAATAGCCTTCTGAGTCACTGAGATGATTATAGATGTGTGCCACTGTGCCTATCATAAATCTATTTTTTAGAGGTTTAAAATTAATGAGTTAGAGAAATGTCATACCCATTTATAGAGACACAAAGGGAAAAGAACAGAAGGTAAGACACCAAATTATTACTAGGGTTCAAACATTCAAAAACCATTTACTGAGTCTTGACATGTGGCAGCTACTGTGGGAGAAGCCGATCTAGAAAATTATGAGACACAGTGCCTGCTTTCATGGAGTTCAGATCATAAAAGCAAAGTATAATAATGGATTCAAACAATAATTTATCCATAAATCATAAAAGTATGGCTGTGACTTTTTTCTATTTTCTAAATTTACTATAATAGGCATATCCTATTTTAACCATTATTTTAACCTTTTCCCTCAAACAATGTAAGAAAAAAAAAAAGAAATCCTGCTTATCAAAGCAAGTAACTATCTTTTAAATGATATTACTTAATGATGGCGAGAATAAGATATTCATTGTTGCTGTTTTCTTCAATTAGTTATAATCCTTTTAGAACATCATTTAGAAATAACGTATCTTATTAAAATAGACTATTTCCTGGAACAATAACTCCATTTCTAGGAAATAAAGATAATAAACCAAAATAAAGGGGGAAGCTTTCTGTATAAATATGTTGCCTATAGATTTATTTCTAGGAGTAAAAAATGAAAAGGAAATGGAAACAAATTATTTCTAACAGTAGGATAATGAATAAGGAAACTGATACATCCCACAAAATTAGTTTTATATATTATTTTATTTTGCAAAGTCAGCTCCTAAAGCATAGTGTTTATCTTATTCACTGCTATATTCCTAGTTCTTAGCAGAGTAGGTGTTCAATAAATATTATATTTATGTGACAAGAAGAAATGGTTAAGTTTAAAAGTAAAAATTTCATATATATGTACACACACATATATGATTACTAGTCACAGACAAAATATGTATAAAAAAGTACACTGTTAAGAAAATACACCACAGTGTTAACAGCAATTGTCTCTGGGAACTTTTTTATATTTTATACAATAAGCATGTATACTTTTGTTATTGGACAAACTGTGTAGTTATAAAGCCTATTTCCTTTTCTTAGCACAATTATGTCTCTATGCCTCCAGAGAAACTGAGTGTAGCCACATGCTTGAGATGTGTCACTGAAATAGAAATTCAAGGGATTTTTGCTGTTTCGAGGCCTGACCTATTATATATCTCCCATGCAATCTATCCATCTTTCCTCGTCTACTAGTTGGACAATGTCAAGCGAACCGGGGACACCCATGTTGAAGGCAGATTGTCGGCTTAGAACTTGGAATGGGCACATGGAATAGAGATCTTTTTCCCCTCATGACAGAACTTGATGTGATCAGGAAGCAAACTTGTATCATGTCAAGCTTTGAGATCTTGGGTTTATCTGGTGCTGCTGGTACTACTGACACCTTAATTAACAAATATCATGAGATTTAAATATAAAAAAGGTAGCCCTCTTACCACTGTTTGAAAGTGCCACCATAAAATTTCCTTCTTTTATTCAGAAAAACTAAAAAGAATATGTTAACATTCTCTGAAAGAGAATACTTAATATGGTTTCATGAAAACAAAAAACTTTATGAAAACAGGATTTATTAAGTATGAAACAAGGAAAAATAATTAATCTGGCAAACATTATAATGTTTAACTGTTAAATCTAGACCAAAGGCTAAAACAACTTCAAACAAGTTTAAAAAGCTAAATTTTCACAAAAGGTAAAAATGTTGATTTTTGCTAAGAGTTTAGCAAATTTTATTCTTAGCAAATGTGCTAAAAGTCTAGGAAATATATATTCTAGGTTTATCTTATTAAATGCTAAACACCCCATATAATAGTGTAGTCACATTCCCTAATGAGTTCACTACAATCAATGTTTAAGCTGTCCCTATAAGTGATGTGTTTATGTTTTCTGATGCTAGTCTGACAGTAGTGAATGAGACTGAAGAGTATGAGGACTGACATGGAGATACTCCAGGAACTTGACAGGCAAGGCAAGTCTGTGGAGAGCAAACTGACGATATAGATACAGGAACAGTGCATAATCAGGAGAAAAAGAATTAATTAGAAGGTGGGCCACAAAGGCTGGACCTCTGAAAGGTAAGTCACTTACATTTCTGGCTTTCTCCAGGTACATTTTATATCTTTCTTCCATTGCTTTCATATCTTCATCTTTCTTCTGAAGAGCAGCTTCAAGTTCACTGATCTTTTGTACTATTAGTAAAAATAAAATGAAACATGACTAATTATTAAGATTTAAAATACTCTACCCTCAAATAAGAAATATATTTATCAAATTTACTTTCTAAAAACCGGTAAAAGAACTTAAAGGAGAAAAACCTTATTTCTTCTTCGCAGTGAATTCTTATCTAAAACTTTTGAAATTATAACCAATACATCCTTGATTGTTCATTATTATACTATAATCTATATTTCTCCTTTAGATCAAGAATTTCAATAAGCAAATATACATTCAAATTTAAGCACAACCATAAGAGAAAATATGGCATTATTTCTATTTGATGTTTTGAAGTTCATTTTAATCTGGCTTGAAATCATTTCATTCATATTTACATGGTATTAATTATATTTTATAATGTTTGATACTCCTATATATCAATCAGTTCATTTTATTAGATTTAACTTTTTTGGCTTTTATTTGATTATATCTTAATGAACTCAGCACTAAAATTATCATGGTTCTTATTCATAATGTCTGCATTTACACATTGTGCAAAGACTTATGAATAGTTCTTGCATCTTTCAACTAAAAAGGGCGAACCCTTAAATTATGGTCTGGTCCGAATGTTTACAAATACCTACCATTTTGGTTTATATCTGGCTGAAGATCTTCAATGAGTTCTTGTTTCTTCTGTAATTCTTCATGGACCTCTGTTAGTTTTTCCCTAAGAAAGAGGATGCAGCCAGCTGTCAAACAGACCTAAGGATGAAAACTGTTCTCTGCCACAAAATATTTGTTGTCTCTGGGCAAGTCACTATCTCATCCTTAGTTTCCTCACCTGGGAAGTGGGAAAAATACCTGCCTATTTACATGGTTTGTCATGAGTATGTAGACTGCCTAGACATGGTGGGTACAAAAAATGCTAAATATTTTTCTCTTGCCACCCTCACTTCCTAGGAAAGTAAAAGGAAATATTTAACAGGTTAAACACCCACAAAATCTAGTTGTGACAGTTAGTTTCATTTTAAAAACTCTTAAAAATGTAGAAGTTTGGGATGGTTGCCAGGTAGGATGAGCCTTTTAGCATGTTTTTCTTTTCACTTTTTGATGAAAAGAAAAATCAGCAGCAGAATGTTTCCCTTTATTCACCAATTCAGAAAAGGAGATTAACTTCAGAAGCTTAACAACCCTTCCCCTCTCATATTTGAAATTAAATACTAGTTTTACTTACATATGAGCTTCCAACTTCTGCTTTAGTTTGCTGGACTATAAAATTAAAAAAAGCTGCTTTAAGATGACTATCTTGACAAAGGTAAATTTTTCATACATCTAAATATCTTTTTATATTCTTTTGAAGGCATATTACTATATAAAACTATGAATGTTTTTAAAAATTTGTATTTCTGGTAACATACTTTTAAAAGCACAAAAATTTAGGCATGTTTTTTACATCAAAAGGAAAAGTAAAGGAAAATAGGAAATAAAGTAAGAAAGAGTATATTAACAGAAAAATGCCATGTAATTCTGAACACAATAAATATTGAATTTGAATTTGAAGAAAAATAGTAAATGGAAACTGAATGTGATATACTGAGGAGTATCAAACATTCAAGTATCTAATGAATCATTATCTTAAAATACAATTTTATCTTTACAATAAATGTTATCATTATACACACAAGAAATTTAATATTAATACAAAAATAAAGCAAATGGGTACTGTTTAAACAATTCAAAACATAAAATTTCCTCTCATCAACAGTACTTTAAGTTGTAACAGTAGTTCTGCTTCAACTGAATAGCTGCAGAGTTGTAAAGTATAATGTGAACACCAATAAATATAAAATGAAAGATAAAGAAACTTAAAATATTTAAAACACTGAAATCCAAAATGAACTCCCCCAAATAGATACCATTTTAAAAGTATTCCCTAAAGTGACTTAAAAATATTTGTATTAGAGAGGGTACGATACCGTATATATGCACATACGAGATGCCGCCATGCATGAGACGATTTCTATTTTCCAAGCCCCCAGGGAAAAAAGAGAAAATCATATAAAGTATATAAAAGACAGAAAGGAAACACAACCCTTTCAATCTTCCTTTCCATCTCTACTTACTCTGCAATTTCCTCCCCCAACAAAACAGGAATAATCACTTAACATTTTATCTAATCTCAATCAATAGATATCTCTCTAACACACATCCAGCCCTACCTTTTCTGTAATTTCTTTTTAATTAAATACATTTCTCTCTCAACATTATTTCCTCTCCAGATACAGAGATCAAACTACAGGAAAACTGCAGATATATTGAGAGTTAGGCTAAATTTGAGGTCTTTTAAAGACCTCTTATCTCTGTCCTCACACTATCTGCCATCAGTAGACAATAACAAGGCCTGTCAGTTTAGAAGAAAGGAAGAAATAGGGGGTGATGTCTTCAAAACTGCATTAAGGTCTTTGTCCTTCAGAGATTGGTATAATCCATTTCTTGAATACACATTGGTTGAAATCATTATTTTTTTTGTTCTCTAGGTTCTTATTAGAAGGTTTTCTTAATTCTGACTTGCTAATTATTCTCATTTAGACTTTATTCAAGTCAGCCTTGTTGGAATCCTGGCAGAACTATGAAGGCCTCAAGTATAGCATGCTCTCAAATCAAGAATTATCACAAATTTAGGCATAGCTGTTGAAGCAGGACAGATAGAAATCACATTACAATATATATGATCAATTTATAGGCTCTAAATTGGCAAAATCACTGCATCTGTTATGCAGATATATACGGTATTTGAGGGTACCCTTAATGATAATGGTGGCACTTTCAAATTCAAAATTAATTTGGGTATCAGGAACTATTAAAGTGAATCCACACAGCAGAATTATTTATAATTTGTAAGTTACTTACACTTTCGCCTTCAGACTTGGAGCCATGTTCTTGTAAAGACTTCTGAAGGTCCTCAATTTGCTGCTGCAGTTCTCGGATTCGCTCTTTGCTCAGCCTGTTGTAAGATGGATCTCATATTACCTGGTACATAGTAAGCTTTATATAATATTATATTTTTTATTATTATACTATTTTTTTAGCAATCATTGGTACTAGATAAGTATCTCATTTGTTTTAAATACATTATCAGGAATCTAACAACGCATAGCTAGAGAAACTGAGTTTAAGTTACTTGCTCAGAAATAAATAGTTAATGAGTCATTTATTCAAATGTTAAATGTCCTGTCAATTTGAAGTGATTTAAATGAAATTCAAAAATAAGCAAACTGGTTGACCAAGTCTGCTACAATTAATGGATCATCCACATATTTTAAAATAATATGATTAAAATGATCACTTGATTTTTTTCAGAGTGTAGGTAATAGTGGTGAAAGACAAAAACAAACAACCAACCAACCAAAAAAACAAACCCAAAACAATAAACAAAAATCCCAAACTACTTCTAGATAATGCCAATTACTTAAACTACTGCAATATTTTCTACTTCTGTGAATCAAGATTTCATGGCTAGGTAACCAAATCACCATGACCTCAGGTTAAAAAGGAGTAGTCAGAGTCACCTTTGCTCTGTTTCCAACTCATTCATCTTGCGGTGCTTCTGTTCTAGCTGCTCCTGTAGCTCTTCAATACGCTCATTCTCAGTACCTTCCTGTTGCAAGCGAAGCATCTTGTTTTCATGTTGTAGTCGAATAAATACCTCCCTGATGTTGGAAAGCAAATTTGTTTTAAAATTTTCAGGTATTAGTCCCTATATTCTTTTAATTTTAAGGGAGAAAATTCATGTTCACTTAATAGCTATCATTTTAAAATGTGATCAAAACTTCTGAAAGATTTTTTTAAAATTATGTTTATTACAAGACCATGCCTCAAAATAAGTAGTAAATTATTAAAGGTACCAGTATACTATTATGCTGTATATGCAAATCCTCAAGAGATAGTATGAATTATTTTACTTTTGTAATTTAGAAACTAGTCATGAAAGAAAATGATATACTCTTAGAAAAATATATGAATGAAAAGCAATAGATTTAAGAACATAGTTTGTCTACAATATTTAAGTATACTTTTAGGATGGTAATCAGTTTCAAGTCTTTTCTTGAAAAAAATTCTTAAGTATTTAAATAAACATTTTTAAAATGCAAATTTGGTATTAAAACACAAATACAATCTTTATTTGGTATTAAGTAGAAAAGTAATTGTTTCCTATTTACTTCATTCCCAAATCTCATTCTCCCCTGAAACAACTAATTCCAATTAATCCCAATTTTGGTTCTTCTAAATGTCAGTACCATAATTCTAACAAACTTATATGATTCTTTATTAAATTACTAATTTTAGCATAATGATTGACTCCATGCTAGGAAACTTAAAATACCTGTAAAGTTAAAGTGACTTTGTGTTGCATAAATGTTAGACAGTAAATTTATTATTTATGATACAACGAGTGACATTACCACCTCATAAGAAGTTATGTTATTAAAAGTATAATATGTTACTTAGCAAGTTTTTAAAATTTTCCTTCTGGTAAATTTTTAAATTGCTATGGAAGCAATTGCTGTATAGCAACTATTGGTTCATAAAGTTTAAACAGATGACAAAATAAAATTTCACTATGATTTGTTACTTTCAGGTAAATGCAAATGAATTGAAAGCATTTTCCAAAACAACTGGATGTTAATAATCAAAAAGTATGTATTAGTTTCTAGTAAAGTTTGTAAGAAAGGTGGAAATCATGACTATATTCTAACAAATAAAACTCTGAACAAATTGAAACAACCTTGTTCACATGATGCTAAGCAAAAGTCAGTTACAAAAGTTACATACTGTATAATTCTATGTATATGAAATGTCCATAAAGATACGCTTAGATTTGGAAGGGGTCAGGAATGGAGAATGACTGCTAATAGCATGGGTCTCTTTGGGGGATATTCAACATGTTTTAAATTAGATAGTTACAGTGATGAGAGTCACAATATGATAGTGACAACTATGAATATAACAAAAAACCCACAGAACTGCATATTTTAAATGGATAAATTATATCTCAAAATGATTTAAACAAAAAATAAATTGAATTTGAAGTAATAAATCCAGTGCTACCAAAAGAAAAAGAAAACCATTAAAATTAAAGATTAGTCAAATGCCTACAAGTAAACACAGCAGTACAAGACAAAGTTAAATGTTGGATCAACCTAAAAATATTGTATTGCTTAACTTCTGCTTCATTCTTCTATTATTATTGATAATTCCTCTTTTTCCACTTATATAGTTTTCAATGCCAAATACCAATAACAAAAAACAAATTTCCAAATTAAAAAACATAAAAATAATTTTAACAAAACAAAACCCATGTTATAAAAACTAGATTGTTATTTTTCCAGTTTGTACAATTTTACTTGTGATAAATTTTAAAATTGCTGTGGCAGCAATAATAATCTAAATTACAATGTTTAAATAAATAGATAAAAAGGAGTTATTTTCAACTCTATGACTCATAAAATGAAAAGTTTCAAAGGTCAAGTGATTTACAAAAAGAGAGGAAGAAAAAGGAAAGAAGGATATAGGGAAGGAGGAAAGGAAGAAACCACATTTCTAATATTAAATATGGTCTATCAATCAGTAGAAATAAATTTACCTATATTCCACTGGCATAATCTCAGCAGCAAGATTCTCAAAACTTTTTGTAGCTGATGCATCTAAACAAAAACAGATTAATGTTTCAGTATTTCAACCATTATAGAAACCTTTATTAAAATCTAACGAAATATACCTGTTTGATTTAGGTGATCCTGTTGTACTTGTGAACATCGAAGCTCTTCATTTGTTTCTTTCAGAGTATCACGCTGCTCTATCAGTCTCTAAGAAAGAATTGTTAATATCAGCAAAGTATTTCTTTTTACCTAGTTCTTTATGCCTTTTACAATTTAAGTGATTTTGATAATTATTAATTTAAAGTGATAGTTTTAGCTTTAAAAGGCTCCTTTACTCTTGTATAAGTCACACACATAATAGCCTTTATACAACACATGGCTTATGATTTCTCCCTCAGAGAGTTTACCTTTGATCTAAATGAATGCAATTATGTAACAGAGTACAAATATGCAGTAAGTAATAAAAAGAGCATGAACTTCAGAGATTAGGGTTTGAATTCCAGACTCTCTACTTCCTAGATGTATTAGATATAAAGTTATTTAATTTTTTACTTTAGTTTTTGTATTTTCAAAATGGGAATACCAATATAAAAATCCTTGCAAGCTGGAATGGTGGTGCATGCCTGTAATCCCAGCAGCCTTGGAGGCTAAAGCAGGAGGATCATCTATTCAAGCCAGCTTCTGCAAAAGTGAGGTGCTAAGCAACTAAGTGAGACCCTGTCTCTAAATAAAATACAAAATAGAGCTGGGGATGTGGCTCAGAGATCAAGTGCCCCTGAGTTCAATCCCTGGTATCACCCCCACCGAAAAAATCTTTGCAAATGTGTTTTGAATACTAAGTGAGATAACTTCAAGTATCTAAACAGGTTGTTGCATAAGAGATGCAGTAGACTAGGTATATCTTTTACTATTACTACAAACTTATATTTTAAAAAGTTATAAGTAGCATCCTGAAGTATGAATTTGTGGAAGAATACTATTATCCAAGAAGAGCAGCTAGTAATTCATGACATTGACTATTTTACTTTAGAGCTACACAATGATGAACTTTTATGTTCTGAATAAAAAAATCACTGGGATCTGTAAATTAAAACTAGGGACAGGTATGAGAATTTTTATAAATATTCTCTGTCATAAATGCAATGGAAACTCTAGAAAATTTGTCCTCATCAACTTTTATAGAGTTCTGGAAAATAAACCAAAGGCCTAAAACAATCTGAGGAGTATTTATTAAAATAAATTTGGTAATAAGGACATCGCGACAATTGGGTTTCTGTTTGGAAAAATGGGGAAGAGTCTCCCTGTTGTGTAGGTACTAGGAATGGACACCCAAAATTATGTTCAACCCCCAAAGCAATAGCCAATGGTATATCTATCTGTTGAGAATGTCACACAGAAAATGAAAAAATCCAGGGATACAATCAGATGCAGAGAATGTGGATACTGAATAATGTACAAGAAAAGAACCAAAAGATTGGCTTTTCATACTCAATGAACATGGGAATTCAAAGGAGTATCTTCCTTTGTACTTAGACTTAACCTGTTAATGTTTCTCATTATTGTATAGCTTTTTCATTTAGCATACTTATCTTATGAATATAACTATATTCGTATGATTTCATTTTCCAAACCAAATTGTGTTTAGGTATTAATAATTTGTATAAATTTTTTTTGTTTAATTAAATGACTTAATTTAATTTTATTGTATTACGTGATCTGACACAAAATGAAGGTTAAAACTGCTTCCCCAAATCAAACTATTAATCAAAAATTTGTTAGAAATTCAGGTTTCTAGAGTCCTGTAAAATTCTGATTAAATAAGTTCATTGGAAATAAAAAACAAACAGACAAACAAACATGCTAAACCTTCATTAGAATGGTAAGCTTTTTGCTTTTTTAACTTGCCTTATCACTATCCCCTCTCCCCAGCTGTGGAGTAGCCTCAAAAATCAAAAGTCCCTCATATCCCTATATCTGTGAAAACCAGGTGCTTTGGTAGTCAAGAAGAGGCAGATTAGACAGGAAGCTCCTCTCAAAAGCCCTATCATGCCAGACCAAGTGGTGCCTGCTAACCCTGGCAGCTCAGAAAGCTGAGGCAGGAGGATGGCAAGTTCAAAGCCAGACTCAGCAACTTAGCAAGCCCTAAGCAACTTAGCGAGACACTGTCTAAAACTAAAACATAAAAAAAGGCTGGAGATGTAGCTCAATGGTTAAGCACAACTGGACTCAATCCTCAGTTCCAAAAAACAAAACAAAACTATCATCCTCAGAGCATTATCACTATTTTACCTGTCGTGCAGCTCCTAGAAGCCCCTTTGCAGTGATTTTTATTATTTGACCCAATTCAGTGCTCACTCTACTGGAAGAGCTGTATTCCCATGACATATATCAAACACAATTCCCAGCAACTGTTTATCACCATAATAATATAAGGTGGAGATAATTAAAAACCTAGCCAAAATGTTATAAGAAAGATCTTGAAATATGATGCCCAATAGGATGCTATGAAAAGTTCTGACATGTTCTTGGTGATATAAGAGGAAAACTATGTGCACATGCCCAGAAAATATCAGAGAGAGCCCAATGTCTCAGCTCTGACTGAAATTGAGGCCCTGTGCAATCAGCACCTAAAGGCAAAGGCAGAATTTCAAATTTCATGAGCACTGAAAATGTTTTTCAATATACATTCTGGATGTTTTGACAAAGGCTGAGAAAAGTATTGGTTCAAGGCATCTATTGTAATCCCTGATCAGTCATAAACTAGCCATAGTGGCAACTGAGCAGGTACTTCACTGGTTGCACATTATATAGAATATACACTTTATAAAATCAGTAAAAAAATATCATTAAAGACAGACAAAATAAACAGTAACAACAATAAATACTGAGGTTGGGAGAAATATGATTTTCAATTTTGAAATATTATATAAAATGTCAGATATTCAACAAAAGTTAAAAAAAAATACACTGATAAAAACGAAAACTTCTACACTGAAAGAAAAATAAGTCAACTGAAAAAGCCAATAAGATGAGCTAGTGAGAGATATAGTAGACCAAAACCAAGTGAGTTATTATGAATACATGCAAAGAACTAAAGCAAACTATGTGCACAGAATTAAAAGAAATCACAACAATATCTCACCAAACATAGTGTAAAAAATCATTTAAAAAAATAGTAGAAATTCTGAAGTTTCCAAATTTTGTAGATTCAAGATACCAGAGTAGAGAAAAGCCACAAAAGCTTAATGCTCTATAGCTTGGGATACAAGCAGTGGGAATGCTGCTTCTCAGCAAGGTGGGTAAAGAGGGATTTGACTGAAATTCAGTGTAAGACAGAGTCTCTTAGAGACTCAAGACATCTAGGTGAGCTGAACAAAAGAAATAAGTACATAACTGGAACCAATTCAAATGCAACAGTGGTACCAATTCACCATGCAGAGGAGGGATAACACAAAAAAGAGAAACATGATGGAGAAATCTGGCACATAAAATCCTTAAAACAGAAAAGCAGACTGAACTTAACAGATCCAGAGGCTTCACAGTGAAATGCTATTTGAAAGGTGCTGTGTTTCTCCACTGGCAAGTGAAGAGCTATGATAGGGAGCCATCCTGAGGTGGCCATAGGCAGCTTACTGCTGCAAGAGCCTGGGAGATCACAGCAAACACTGCCATACTGTCCTGGTAAGCACCTAATGTGTGGCCTAGGGTACAGTTAGCAGAATGTGAGTGAAACAGGCACAGATTATACCCAAGGGGGATTCAAGTCAGAGATATGTAGGTAAGTAGTATTCACTTTAAGTCTGGCACTTCATGTGACCAAATGTAGATGGTTAAGAAACTAATGGGTGATTGATTACACTCAGGGACTAATCCTGGGAAAGCCACATTTTGTGGGCAAGGTATTATATGAGAACTGTGGAGGACTAGCTCCCTTTTCCTGACAGCAGAATTCCTAGATGGTTGCTGAGAGCCAGATTCCCAGAAGAGATTGGTATCTGCCTGTCCTAGGGATGTGTTGATCTCTCCAGAGCAGACACCACCTAACAAAGACCCTAAGGCTTAAACAGAGCTAAACTCCAGCAACTGGAACTCCCTTCTAGAACTCTGCAGCAGTCCCACCTCAGAGTACTTTGTTCTGGTCTGTCCAGACAAATCTACAATCCAAAGCACTTCCCATTTTGTCCTACCTTATACTTGTAAGAAAACTTGAAAGCTATTTTAACCAGCTTCCATTTTAAGCCATACTGTAAGATGGCAGGTTGGTGAGCAACACAAAAATTAAAAGATATGGAAAGAAAGACAATCAGGCATAATCATTCATCCTCACTGACAGTTTTGAACACCTCAGTGGAGACAATTCTTTAATTTTTCATTAAAATCTTTTTCCACTTTTTTTTTTTGGTGTTTTTCCTGTTGGTTCATAGATATGTGTGTGTATATATACCTTATTGTGTGCATGCATATATATGCATGTATGCATATATGTATGTATATATGTGTATATAAATATATATGAATTTATACATGTTTGTTTCTTCTTTTCTCATTTTTAGCGATTTTTTTCTTTGTCTTGTCTTTGAGGTTCAGGGTCTTTGTTTATTTTGCTTTTATTTATCTAGTTTCTCTCTCACCTTCTTTCTCCCTCTAATAGCCAAATTCTTTTGTTCTCTCTTTCTTTCTCCCTTGTTTTATTTTTTCTCTTCCTCCTCTGTAGCCATCACTTGCTACATTTCTTCTTTTTATATTTCGAACATTCTAACCTTTCTTTTAGCATCCTATTATTATTTTTTCTCTTAATGTATTTTTCCCATATTTTAGAATTAATTGGCTTATACATTCCTGCCCTACTACCCCTGATGTTGCAGTTATAGTACCTTGGATGGCATAGCTGATATTTACTTTAATGCCAGATCTAGTTAGTGGATATTTATTAATTTTGTTTTTTCCAACTGCTGACTCTACCATTCCTATTTTTGTGGTAAATTCATTGTTTTGTAGATGTCATAGCAGACACTGGGTGTTTATTTTAATGCTATATAGTGTTTGCTTCTGTTCTTGCTATTGTTTCCCTCTCTTCTGTGAGGTCCTGGAAATCTACTGGGATACAACAAATTCACAGAGTAGAAACACTGCTACAGAGTTAAACCCAGCCAAGAGATAGCTCACCTTGCTTCACACACAAGCTAACCATGCTCAAACTTCAGTGACATTTTAATACAAAAAAGAGAAGAGACAAAACCCCCAAACTTAACAACCAGGCAAGGAAAGGCAGGGAGAGCCCTCAGGTCCCATTCATGGAAATATACTCCTAGAGCAAAAACAATTAACACAAAGGCTATGGATACCACATCTATGCAGGGTCCTAATCTAAATCACTCCCATAACTGTTTAGAGTATATAGAGTTGTTAAGGTGTATAATCACAGAGGGTGTATTCCATATACCCTGGTTTATACAATACAATTGCCAGATCTACAAGGAGGACCCCACTGTTTTGAGACCTATAGGAAAATGAAATCCTTGTGTTCTGATGCACTATACACTTTATCAAAACTATACCATAAAACTATACCATAAAACCCATTTGGAAATTTACTGAAAAAATTCACAGCAACCTAACATCCCCAAATACTTTCACATTGGAAGAAAATATTCACCAAGTATTCATGTAACAAAGGATTAATATCCAGAAATATATTAGGAACCAAAACGCTTAATTTATAGAATAGGCAAGTGATCTGAATAGACATTTCTCAAAAGAATTAATGTAAATGGCCAATAATACAATGAAAAAAATACTCTACAGCATTAGTAATCATGGAGAACATCTACAATGAGATATCCTCTCACCCTGTTAGAACAGATATTATTCACAATAAAACAAAGCAAACAAAAGAAAAAAAAAACCCAAATAACATGTGAGGATGTGAACAAGGAACTCACACACTTTTGTTGGGAATGTAAATGAATATAACATTATAGAGAATATTCCTGAAAAAACTAATAACAGATGTACTATATGATCTAGCTACTCACTTCATATCCAACAGAAACGAAATCAACATACCAAAGAGATAGAGATACTTGCATTTTCATGTTTAATGTGGCACTATTTACAATAGCTAAGATATGGAATCAATTTATGCGCCCATCACTAGATAAATGGATTAAAAATAAACAGTGAAATGTTATTTAGCCATACAGATGAATGCCATTTGAAGCAAAATGGATGAAAGTGGAGGACATTTTTTGTTAAGTAAAATAAGCCAGACAGGAAGACGAAGTACTACACATTCTCTCTCATATGTGGTAGTTAAAATAGTAGACTTGAATGTAGAATATTAATTAGGATAATTTGGGGGAGTGAATTAAAGGAGGCTCAATTTAATTAGTGCACACTGTATGCACGTGTTGAAATGTCACACTGAATCCCAATAATCTATATACATTTTGTAAATGCTTAACAAAAATAAAATGTAGCTAGGCATGGTAGTGCATGCCTGTAATCCCAGCGGCTCAGGAGACTGAGGCATAAAGATTGTGAGTTCAAAGCCAACCTAAGCAAAAGCGAAGCACTAAGCAACTCAGTAAGACTCTCTCTCTAAATAAAATACAAACTAGGGATGGGGATGTGGCTCAGTGGTCAAGTGTCTGAGTTTAATCTCCAGTACCCAAAAAATAAATAAATTAATTAAATGTTTAAAAACTGAATGAAGTGAAATCATTTTTACAAGACTTTTCTATATGTATATAATTTCAATTTCAAGAAAGATAGAACAAGTAGATATTGTTACCATTCTAAGAATGGGTAGTTAAAAAGCTAAAAAAAGAATAACATACTCCTTTTTTGTGTGTGTGGTGCTGGGGATTGAACTCGTGGCCTTGTGCATTGGAGGCAAGCATTCTAGCTACTAAGCTATATCCTTATCAAATATATTTATGATTACCTCTTTTTCCTTAAGTAAAGCTTCATGTTTTTCTTCAAGCCGCTTCATTTCAAATGCTAGTGTATCTGCCCTTTTGGATTCAGAGGAAAGTTTAACGTGAAGGTCCTGAATCTTTTGTCAGAAATCAAGAAAGAAATAAGAGTATAAAATATTGATAGTGTTTCAAAGTAAATGAACTGATTAGAAATAAATGTATGTATTAAAATTATATTCTAAGTATTTGGAAAATAGTAACTATAAAAGAATTAATGTTAAATACAAAATAATAATTAAGACACAATATTAAACAGTAGCCTTATATCCTAATGTTTGTCTAGATTATTTGAAAATAGCAGAATAGAATATTTTAGGTCACAGCTGCATTTTCTGCCATCCTCTAAGCATCTGTCAATGTTTACTAGAAACATTAATAAACTGTAACATCTCAAAAACAAATACGTTAGCAAAAATAAGTTTGGAAGGCAATAAGAAGGCGAAGGACCTGGAGAAGTCAAACTCAGCTATCAACCTTGATATTAAAATTACATATAGAAGAAATTCACTGAAGTACATAGCTTATTGTATGCAATGCTTAACTTTTGTATCATTCTTAAAGATGAAATGGAATAATGAAGTTGAATTCTTTCAATTATATCAATTAAAAATTAAGATATTTTCTTACCTGCCTTTTGTACGTTTCTAATTGTGTGCGTGCTGCATTTGCCTTCTTTAATTCTTCTTCCAAGCTGACTGTATTATGCATATACATCATGTTTGTTTCCTGTAAAGTTTTAACCTGCTTGCGAAGGTCATTTAGATCTTGTAGTTTCTGACGATATATCTCAACTGTTGACTCTAGTTTATTTGCTTTATCAGAAGTAGCCCTGTAGTAATAAAGAAAAAGCAATCCAAATTAAAGAGTAGCATATACACAGAGCAATTTTATTCTGATTGTAAAATGAATCTCCCAAGCTTTAACCAAGATTTGGGTCTAAAACCATTTAATGTTCAATCTTTTTGTTATTAAGGCATCAAAAGTAAAAATGCTTCAAATGTGACACATTAAGTTACCACCAAAATGTTTTTAGCCTCATATTAAAAAAAAAAAAGAAGGGCTTTGTACATATAGTAAAAACAATTCTAAACTATTCTGTAGCTTACAGAAAAACCTTGCTTTGTTTTAGTATCATTTAGTATCATCTTATTTTTAGTGTTTGAAAAACTTAGGAAGATAAGTCAATTTATGAATTTGTCTTTCTTTGGAATTACACTTAGTGGACCAACCAGGCTGTAGCAAAGATAAATAAACCAAATCAAGTCACCAACACTGTCAAAATTAATGGTTCTAAAGATTTTGTTTAAAATGGTTATTAAGAGCTGCAAAAAAAAAAAATAGCTAATTAAGAAAAATCAACAGAAAACATGCAGAACATGTGGACAGCCTATTCATTGGGTAACAATTCATAGGCAAAAGTCAAATATAAATATATATTATAAAATATTGCCCAAGACAATCCTTGAAATAAATGTTAGGCTCCTCTTCTATATTTATATTTCATCAAATATGAAAATATTGTGAAAAAACATTTCCTAAAAAAAAATTTTCTCAAAATACAAAAATGGGTACCAGTTTAAGCTAAATGGATCATTTACAAAATCTTCAGAGAAGATTTTGGGTTTGTAGGTTCTAATGTGAAACTGTTGTAACAAGAGTTGAACATTATCTTTCAAATACAATTCCAGCAAGCATAAAGGAAGTAAAGACCAGAAACATGAATAAAAAGTGTTCAACATTTTATACATTGGCAAAACTCTTTAAGAATTTCTGATTAAAGCATGGAATATTCACATTAGCTAAAAACTTAGAATTAACATAAATATATTTAGGCCTGCCATACCTAAGAACATCTATTTCATCCTTCAGGGCTCTTGTTTCTTCAGCAAGACTAGTCAATTCATCATTCCTATGCTGAAATTCAATTAATTGCTTTTCAAGTTCTTCACAGTGAACACGGTAATCATCTTTTGCAGCTTCAAGCCTTGCACAAAGAAAATAAGTGATTATTTGTAATATAATCATTTATAATATAATATTTTATATTTATAATTTCCATCAATTGTCTTCCTACTGAGACATGACATGACATACTTAAATTCCACATTCAAAACAGGAAAGATTGAAGGAATAAGGTATTTGGGACTCTTAGATTTGTAATAGGCATGAAAAATAAGTTTAATGTCCTGAATTTTCATTTACACTTCCAAAACATGTGCTTAGTAACCTCTATAGAGTCTAACAGAAATTTTAATTTCAAAAGAGGAAGAGAAAAATGCATAAGATAAATTCACTGTTTAAAAAATAGTTGACATGTAAAGAGGACAAATATTAACTCTAAGGAGACTGCAATAAATTAATGACAATGTGTGTAGAAAACTTTGTGATATCATAAAGTAATAAACTGCTCAAAAAAAATATATGTTGAACGGCTAAAATCACCAGTTGAAAGGCTTTTCACTGACCAAATCTGGGAAAATTTGACCCTCGAAATAAGTGATGATAGTAATGGATTTACAGTCCTCTGAATAAGAGTCCATTTCTAAATAGGATGCATAATTCTGGATTTCAAAGAAAGGGTTAAAAAAAAAACTTTATAAGGGACACTGAAACAATTGATGGAATTTGAATACAATATGTGGATTAGATAATGTTTAATCAGTGACAAATTTCCTATACTGAGGATGTTCTTGTTTTTAGGAAATACACACTGAAATAAAGAGGCATGTCTCCAAATTAGTGTCAAATGATTCAGAAAAACGTTTAACTATAAGAATAGAGAAACTGCTAAAGCAAATAGAGAAAACTGTAAAACTCCAAATATAAAACACTGTAAAAGCAGAGTTCTTAGTAGTATTATTGCAACTTTTTTTTGCAAGTTTGAAATGATATAAAAAAAAATTGTATGGTAAAATTAGCATGTTTGGGAGCTGGGGTTGTGACTCAGTGGTAGACTGCTCACCTAACACGTGTGAGGCCCTGGGTTCAATCCTCAGCACCACATAAAAATATATAAATAAAATAAAGGTATTGGGTCCAACTATAAAAAAATATTTAAAAAATTAGCATGTCTGTCTTTAAGATCTCATAGTGTAAGACTCAGTGGTAAGCACACAAGCAACAATCAATGTTTATTAAAGGTAAGAACTCTATTTTTAAAAGAAATAATATTAATGTTCAAATAAGAAGCGTTTAAGATTTATATTTTTTCCACTCATTATCAGATTATCTCTCTTATGTGAGAAACTCCCTATTTCTTCCAAGCTTCATTATTCACTCTCTTGAAATCTTACTGGTGGCATATGGCCTTCATTTGTCCTGTATCTTTGCACTGTTTTACATAATTTACTTGCTTATCTGGATAATAAATCAGATACTTGGTATTTTTAGTAGCTTAATCAGTGTCTTAAACATGCTTAATATACTAATAATTAGTTGATATGATTTTTAGCTACTAGTTTAATGAAAAGAATTCTATAAAATAATTTCTACTAAAAATGCTACCTGAAGTTCTCTTCCTGTAACTGTTCTAGTTGTAATTGTACATGAAAATACTTCTTTGCAACCATCGTATTTGGATCATCAAAAGAGCCATCCAACTGGTCAAGTTTTTCATTCATCATCTCATTCTCAGAAACCAGTGAATTCTTCTCATCTTGAAGTGCAGTCACCTAAAAAACAAATACAGAAATATAAGCAGCAATAACAACAACAACAACAAAACTCACAGAATTGGGAGTTCTTGATTCTAATTCTGTCAAGGTCATGAAACAGCTTGACTAATCAGATTAGATGATTTCTAAGAATACTTTCAACTCTGAAATTCTGAGTCTAGGAAGTTTGGGGAAAACAAAGAAATCAAATTAGTACACATATGCAATATACAGTAAGGATGCTTTTAGAATATTATACCTGTCTCAGTTTTGGAAATACAATGTTTCTAAATCTCTAAAATTTAATATGTGAATCCAACTTCAAAACATTAATATTTCCCTTTTTTGTCAAAACTAACTTTCAAAATGCTTTCACCTATGCAAAGTTATCATCTGGGGTTCATAGTGAAAAATAATCAGTCACATATCACATATTCAGGAAACAAGTATATTTGGTTGATGAATCAATACCAAAAATCTTAACTGTTTCCATTTGTAAAGAGACTTTGTGTTTATGATTTAAAATAGATAATAAAATGTCTAAGTGCAAAACTACAAAAATGTCAGTACCTGATACATGTTTTAAACTCCTTTAAAACAAGCATGTTTTTTCTCTTGGTTCTAATTCTTTTCTATTTAAAAATTTTTTAGGTACAGCTATGACTTTTCATGAGCCCAGAATTTTACATATATTTTAACAAGAACTAGATAAAAAGGTGTTCCATTATCATTGGCATCCATAATATTATTGGACAAGATTGCTATTTATATTTTCAATAGGTACAACCAATTCCATAAGTGAATGAGATGACATATAGAAACAATGAACTAAAAAGGAAATTAAATCAAGTGATTGCATTAAATACTATATAGGCAAGTTACAAACACTGTTCTCTGTTACATTATTAAAATGAAGACTAAGCCTGAAAAATTCCTCAACAGACTAAACCAGTTAGGCTTTATAAGTGATCTAAACTTTGTTAGATTTGCAAATGTAAGTGCAACTTACCTTGAGCTATTTCTTACAAATGCTATATTAAAGAAAAACAGTATTTAAGCTCAACTGATGCGAAGAACCAACAAGATTAAAATTATACAACCAGGGACTTTCAACCAAATAGGCAACCATGTACCTATAATCTATCTTTTCTTTATTGCTGTAGTAACCCTATTACTGTCTTCCAACTGTTTCCTAAGTGGAAGGTCCAAACCACTCTGGTTTGGAGCTGCCTAATTCATGAATATAATAAACTCAATAAAACTGCATTATACCTAAGTTCACATTTTAATACATCTAAATGAGAAATATGAAGGCAGGCAAGGAAACTGTCTCTAGGTGGACAATGTAAACACACAACTTTCTGTTTCTAAATTCAAAGCATGCATCCATGCTTGTTATGTAAGGAATCAGTGACTATTATTTGTCATGTATAGTTCTAAGCGATTCAGATACAAATAAAAGAGTTTCTGCCCTGTAAATAATTAAATAAGAGATGTTGGTGGTGCTTTGATGAAAGCATACTATAGAGTAGGGGGTAGAGCAAAAAGAAAGGACTACATGTTGAGTATCCCTCATCTGAAATGCTTTAGGGGCCAAAAGTTTTCAGATGTTGGAGCAGTTGTACCTATTTAATGAGATAACTTGGGGATAAGACTCAAATCTAAATGCAAAATTCATTTATGTTTCATATACAACTTATAATAGCCTAAAGGTAACAATATTTTAAAAAATAAATTTGTGCATGAAACAAAGCTTGTATATGCTGAGCCAACCAAAAGCAATGGTGTCACTATCTTAGCCAACCATGTGGACAATCTGGTTCTTTGACATCACTATCACTACTATTCCTGACTATGAATGTACATGGTACAGATAAGTACTAATTTTCTTAATGTATTAACACATAAGTACCTAACAGTAAAATATATGATGCACCATCAATAAAATGCCCAAACTAGACAGCACCTTGGCATCACTAGAATCTCTGTACCCATGCTTATACAACAACAATGGCAACTTTCTTACAAATCATGTCAGTTTATAAAATCAGAGACTTAAAGACAAAAGTAAGTAACTGAGGAGGAAATACTTGAAAAGGCTTCCTAGGAGGCCTTCTTCCAGTTTACTGACATTCTGTAGGTTTATTTTTTACATATTTAAGGAGATTTGCTATAACTTCTTTTTCACTTGATATAATCTTTCAAAAATCATCACCTTATTCATCTTATCATTGAATACAATCCCATACCAGAGACTGTACCAGGCATAACACAACTTTCTTTATTCACTTTTGTTTCCAACAATGGCAATAACATATACAGCATTCTTCATGTTAAACTCCTTTTGAAAACCTATATATTCATGCTTCTGTTCATTGCTACTAACATGCTGTTTAAGAAAATGTTTTATATTTATTCTTCATTAATCTATTGATACCCTGGTCACGTGGATGAGTTAACAGTCACATTTGGGAGAAAGCACATGGAATAAGCATTACTTTTAATGAGAATTTCAAAGAGCATGAACAGAACATTTGTCAAGGAATAACAAAATCTTACAATCATATAGTCCAAATTTCCCAGTAGTGAGCACAATTCACCTGTACAAAACATTTGTGAATCAGTCAGAAAAGATATCCCTGCTGATCCCTGCCTTTGTTATAATGATAAATGACTGCTAAGAAATACATTCCTTTAAAATAGCAAGGACACAAATTTGCCTATCATACACTTCTTCATGCCTATTAATTAGCATATCCAATCACAGTTATTCTGTCCTTGCCATTCTTTATTTGCTTAGGGACTGTCTCATCAGCTGTAGTCAATGTCTTTCAAAGGGAAAAAGTGCCAAAACACTGATGTTTCTTCACCATTACATCTTGCTCTGACATCAGATTTCATCAGTAATGACCTTAGCAAACTCATTGAAAGATTTCTATGTGCTTTGTGACCATCATATGCTTTATTGACACAAATCTTGAAAAATTTACTGCTGTGTCTTTTCTTAAATTTCTGAAATGAGCCTATTGAATATGTGGTATCCTTCAACTTTTAATTCATCATGATAGGTCTTTCTTCTCTCATGATTAATATACCATTAAATGGTTTATGTGTTCACTGTTGACACTGATGGGTCTGCTCTTTCAACAGATGATCAATTTCACTTTAGCTTTATGCAGTGGTTTTTGATTTTTTTTTTTTGTCCTATTCAGCATTTTAGCATAGAACACTTTACTCCTCTGTTTCTTTAGGTCACATATGCTAGACACTCCTATACCATACTCTCCAGTTAGATATTTTACACATATACCACTGCCCAGTTTCTCTAACAGCTTGATTTTTGTGTTACAAACACAAATTCTTCCTCTTTATCACTGTTAACCACAGCAGTTTGTTAAGGGTTTTTTTTTTTATGTTTTTGATAATATCTTTATACCACAAAGCAGAAAATATTTTAAAAACCCAGTAAGTAACGCACGTAGGTCTAGGCCTCATGTGGGGTATCTTGACATTGCACGGGGGAATATTGGAGTGGGAGGAAAGATACGCCACATCTGAAAGAAGCTGGAAAGGTCTTACTCCCTTGAGGACATCAACTGAAGTATGTGTTTTACATCCACATTTTTGACTGCAACTCATCACCTGAGGTTGGATGTGAAATTTACCACTTGTCACATCATGTCAGTGCTTAAAAAATTTTAGATTTTGGATCATTTCAGATCTTAGTTTAGTGATGCTCAACCTATTGTCTCATTCTAACTTAAGGGTAAGGTAAGGGCCGTCACAAAATTGTGGATACAGGAGAAACAAAGCCCTCAGTCTTCAAACTAGGTGGATCCTCTAAAGAAGGAAGAAGAACAAGGGCAAATTTTAGTTTTCAACATCTGGTAAGTAACCACCCTTGTTCCTATCAATTTCACCACAGAATGAAAGGAGAGGAGATTACACTTTCAAGCTCCTTGGACCCACCCCAGATCCATGACTTGGAATGTTAGGAGGAAGTTCTAGGCATCTTTTTCACAAGCTCCCAAGGAGCTATATTCTTTAGCTTCACTCTGAACCTGCCTTTCCCCTCTGTTTCAGATTTATAAACCTTTCAACTAAAACTGCAAGATTACATACTTGATATTATGTATTATAAACACTTAAATCTTTTAATGCAGAATTTTGTGTTCTTTATTGAATAAGAATTTCTGAGAAAGCTATACGAAGGTCCTATAAAATTTTTACACCTAAATGGCTCAATTCCTAATCTTTATATGAAGTATTCTATGAATAAATATGATCCATATGAAAATAACATATTTTAGTTTCTTTACATTGTGTGTGGGGGGCTGTGTATTACAATGTATGGTTAGGAAAGATGCAGAAAACAGATATTTGCTTTACTGAAATACAGAGGACTGTTTTCTTTCTTTCTTTTTGTGGTGCTGGGGATCGAACCCAGGGCCTGTGCATGCAAGGCAAGCACTCTACCAACTAAGCTATATCCCCAGCAAGGACTAACTTCTTTTAAAGATGAATTTAAAAGATCTGAATTCTGTTGCAATTACTACCTAAATTACTTTGTTATATCTGAAAACCATTAAGAGTTAAAAATATTAACCAGCCCTATCACTTCAGGTATTTGAAATGACTTCATCTGGCAAGAATAAAGCTAACATAACCTTAGTTTTGTGTCCTTATATTTTTCAGAGATTAAACTATTCAGCTCATTATTTGACCAAAAAATGCAAATTATGTAGAGTATACTAAGTGGGTACACATAAATTTTTATTTTTTTATTAGAGCATTATAGTCATACATAGTAGTTGGGTTTATCCTGACAGAATCATACATGCATAGAATTCAATTTGAGTTCTTAATCTCCCCTTTTTCCCTCCTCTCACCTGACCTTCCCCCATTCTCCTCCTCTACACTCTATTGGTGGTCTTTTCGTTTATTTTTTGTTGGTTCTTTCACTTATACATAAACGTGAAATTTCCTATGGTATATTTATATATGTACATGTGATTTTT